GGTCACGAATGTTTGATTGTCTTTTTTTGGTCATAAATTTAACATTGACGTTTTTGTTTCTTCAGATTTAACAAGATTGTCTTTTTTGTGCTTGCTCACTACTATTTAAAGCTTCGTGAATCTTAAAAATAATATGAAAAATATGTGTGTGTAAGAACTAAGAAGTATAGAAATTTCCAAACATATTATTTGCATGTATATTACCGATCCATCCGAGAGTTAAAAGTAAAATAATAAATCTTTCACTTTTCCTCTCTTGTACTCATTTCTTTACAATGGAAAAGTTTCAATTCTCTCGAATTTGCAATTGCTACAAAAAAAAAAAAGAGAAGGTCAATATAATTTTGTTAACTTCATTCGATTAAAAAAATGAAATAAAGAATAGTTAATCTTTTCATATTATTATTCACACGGCTTGAGCTTCCAAGAAACTACTAAAATCCTCGGTGGCTTGTAGCAACCGTGGCGTGATTGAATGCGTCGGAGACGTCGGATAAGACATCGGAGACGAAGTCGAGAACCGAACGTGACGTGGGGACTCCATTGATCTTCTTGATTTCGAACCAGAAGTCTTCAAAACCCCTTTGATTTCTTTCTCCAAATTAGGTTCCTTGTCGAACACGAAAGCCGCCGAAACAGGATCGTCTTGGTCGTTCCCACCGGCTCCTCCTTTGATCAATTCGGAAGGCAAATCGAAGAAATGGCCACCAAGATCCGCATTGTCGTCATATATCATAGCGGACGAGGTCCATGAACCGCACTCGAACCGCTCCAGCGAGGCTCGAGCCGAGAGCACCGTAGTGTCCCTAATGGAAGTGGTTCTTGCCATAGATTGAGTAGAAGTCATTGTGGTGGTTCTAGTGAACGAGGAATCGCCTTTTCGAGATGATCTCACGGGTTTTCCTTTGCTGAAACCGGGTAAGTAGAGACACAAAGCGCTGCATTTAAATCCGTCCTCGAACGAATTGATGCTTTTCGGATTCGCCGTATTGCTATTGCTTCTGTTGCTTTTGTTAGACTCTGTTTTTGAGAAGAAAGAGTTGTGACCGCTACTCTTGTGAGAGAGACTCTTGGAGTTTGAGGAAGAGAAGCC